TCCTCCTCCTCCTCCTCCTCCTCCTTGCCGGTGCCTCCACTACAGACGCTACCTTGTAGCACATCAACAGGTACTATTGGGCCAGCAACCGCTCAAAGACCAACAGCCCCAGNCCTTGACTCATCAAGGCGGCCGCCACCAACGCTGTCCTCCGAGGCACAGCTCCTTGTGCCCCTACCATCACCACCTGCGTTGCCACACCCTGTACCACACCCGCCAGCATCCTCCTCCGTTCCGGTGCCTCCACTACAGACGCTACCTTGCAGCACATCAACAGGTAGGCTACTTTTGGGCCAGCAACCGCTCAAAGACCAACAGCCCCAGGTGATCTTTGGGTTAATAAACCCAACCAGTTGAAACTGGATCGTTATCCAGGGAGATTGTTTTCAGGAAAGAAGCGCACTTTTGCCACTGTATGGTACAACAACAGACCATGGCTTGAATATTCGTTAAAAACAGACGCAGCCTTTTGTTTCCCCTGTAGACAGAAGTAAATACGTCTTCATCTGATGTGGCTTTTACTGTCAAAGGTTTTTGCGACTGGAAACACGAATTACAGACTGATAAAGGACTGATAAGGAATGCCGCATCAAAAGAACACATTTCATGTGAGAGTTTGTGGAGAGAGAGACAGATACGCGAGGAAACAAATAAGGAAATGAGTACTTTGGTGCAGATCAGCTGGCACGGAACCGTTATTACGTGTCAGCTGTCGTTGATATTATAGCTTATTTAGCTGTCAACCAACTCTGAGGTGACCACGATTCACTCCACAGCATGTCCGAGTCAGGCAGTGGGCTCTTCCTATCGCTGTTTGAGTATACGCTGCACAAAGATGCAGAGTTGGCCAAAATAATGTTCTAAGTTAGCTCGGCTGAGCGAAAGGATGCACCTGCAGTGCATAGGAAAATAAACCACGCGCTAAACAGTTAATCGTCTCCTTGTCTACTATTTATTTCCGAGTGCAACGATGAGGTGCCTTGCTCGTGATTTACCAGTGTTTGTGCTGTCACGCACACAATGTTTCAAAAGTGGTTTCTATGTTGCCCTTTATTTGTGTATGCATTTGCGATAAGTGTGCGTCTTTACGCAATGCTGTTGGCCTTGCTGTTATTGTTCCGCAGGCCCGCAGCACGTGACGGTTTTGTGTGCCCTCCCATGAAAATCATATGCCCTCCCTTTAGATTTGTTCTGGC